TCCTTATTATTTAATAATAGTGTAAATATATATTTCGAAATCAGAAAATATTATTTGTTCAAAAAAATCCTTATACGTCTGCTTGACAGGTAGACAGGTCGACACGTAGACATGTTGACAGGTCGACAGGCTGACATCAATAATACTGTGAAATTTGAAAGTAAATTTGCTTATAAATGTGCTTTTATAACTGGTTGACAGGTAGACAACATTATTCATATGTATTTTGAGTTGACAATAAGACGTGTTGACAATATTTATATATTCTGCTCAATTATACTAAAATAAGTCAGCATAATACATGTACACATTGTTGAGGTAATTTGATTTCTGTGTCAAATGGAGATGTATATACATCTAACTGTTATCAGACATTGCGCATATATAATGAGAATAAAATTTAGACTTTCAGGCATTCAATATACATGTATCTATAACCTGTCTACCTGTCAACTTGTCGACCTGTCAAATTGTTGTTCTTCATTCAAACTGTTGACCTGTCTACCCGTCGACCTGTCAAACCTGCCAAATTGTTGTTCTTACTTTGAACTGTTGACCTGTCAACCTGTCGACCTTTCAAATTGTTGTTCTGAAAACAATTTCATTTGTTTAATATTCATTAAAAAGTAATTTGCATTTAATGTTTTGTTCATATATTTATATTAGAATATAATTGTTATAATTATACATAAATATTTATGATCTTACAAAAATATTATAATAACAAAACTGATTTACTGCAGATTATGTGGATCAGACTATATTCGTCTTATTTTGTACTTGACCCGAAGGTAAAAAGACTAATAGTTGATGAAAATAAGGACTGACTTCAGGTAATTGGCCCTGACAATGATTTACTCGCCTTGAAAATATAATAGCATTTTCTTTTAAAAAGTATTTTTAATTTATTAATAAATGAAAACAATTCTGGAATTTCATGCCCTTTTAACTTTTTGTTAACAAAGGAAAAAAAATATTTCAGGAAATAAATAAAAATACAGAAAAATTATTATTATACTTTATCATATTTACATTTGCAAATGTTTTCCTGTATATAACACTAATGAAAGCAATGCGCATCTATAAGTGTATAAATACAAGTAGGGGGTCAAGAGGTCATAGATGTGCGTATAGATAATAGTTCGACGTAATTTCTCAGTGACGTCATAAAGGGTCGATGCGCGTTCAGTGGATAACATACATGCCGTTTGGTTTAAAAAATAATGCATTTCACAGGTTAAAAGTCACAATCAGGTAAATATAAAGTATGAATAAGTCACAAATGTAAATATAAGTAACAAGGTATCATTTTAAAACATCTATCGGGCTATGAATACGGGTTGGTACAAGATTACATTCATTTAATCTCGTGACCAACCCGTATTTATATCCCGATAGATCTTAAAAAATGATACCTTATTTCTAAAATAAATATTCTACACAACGCGTTATCTGATTGGTTTAAGGTTATCACGTGATCGTGCCTTCATATTTCCCGTCGTCGGCACGTACGCTTTTCGTCATATTCCACCTATTCGAAACACCAAATGACTTTTCCCGCAATATAGTTCTCGTTCGTTGAACGAAAACTCCCAAGAGTAGAAGACGTCACAATAACCTGGTTTACGTCACAAAACTGATGACAATGTGTTGACCAAGGGGTTTTATAGTAACTTTACGTCAACATGGTATCAGTTTAATAATTGGTTTATAAATTGGTCATTCAACAGAAAATAACAGTAGATAAACACACATCTATATTGGATACATATAGATAATTTATATTCGTTTTGGCCCTATGGTAAAAAATGGTAAGAAAGTTGATTTGGCATTAAAAAGCTGTCGCACAATGAGGATAATGACTACAATACGGAATTAATATAAGAAAAAAACCCAATAAATATGGATTACAAAGATGTGTTTATAATTAGTAAGTAAACATTTAGGCATGTAAATTAAATCCGTATTTCATGATAGAAAACTGCAATCGTGTAGCAGACGATATTCAAATAGCTCTGTCATAGTGAAAATGTGTAACTACCACAAAATTCCATTTGACGTAAAACCCTTGATAAATCTTAGTAAAACATATTCAAACATTAATTTTGTGGTTATTCACAAGCAATTATAACATAGAATCGCATAACAAAATACAACTTAATCAAATACGAAACTCTGGCTAATACAAATAAGATGGCGGCGGGATGAAAACAACTTCTATGACTCCAACAATCGTGTGCAATTATGGCTATGTCAAGTGCTTATTTGACTCTTAAATAATCAAGTAAAATACAGTAACATGCAAAGATAATGAAGGCATGCACAATTCGCAACTCCTCTCATACCACTGATTGAAATTTGATGAAACTTTCACATCATCTTTATTGCATATTGCCATTGTGTCTTATTGTATACTTTTTGATTCGACACATATTTTGGGTTTCCCATAGCAAAACATGGACAATGTCACTATATTGATATGGGAGGTGGGGTGGGGGTATCTTTTATTGAACTCATTGAACTCAATATCATTGAACACATTGAAATCACCCGCATCTAGGGTAAATTTTTTCATGTGCACCAACCGGGACGGAAGTACCAAAGAACGATAACTCTATTTTACAAATGTTCTGTATTAAAAAAAATTCAGGATTTGTAATAACAATATTGCGATATTTGGTTGATTATATCGTGTGTTGAAAGTGAATCTGTATCCATCAGAATCTACTAGTTACAGCTTTCTTGTGATATATCGAACTTACCGTTACATGTAACATGACGAGAAAATTTGGGATTGAATCCCTCTCGAATTTAATGTTCCGAATAACATTACACATTATGATGACGCCCTAAAATACCGGGTACTTCCGTCCCGGTTGGTGCACATGAAAAAATTTACCCTAGATGCGGGTGATTTCATCGAAATATTTACAAATCGGGGGCATATAAAAATTAAATCGAAATATGAAAAGGAAGAGGAATGTATAACAAATTTATTGATGTATGCATATCCCATGTTTTATACTGATTTAGATAAATAAATAAATAAAGTTTGAGCGAGGTGAGGCGGATGACTAGAAAAGAGTTGCAAGCCTTCTCTCTTTATATGTATCAGTGGAAAACGGCATTTTTAAAAACAGCTTGTAGAGACAAAATAGTTGCATTTTTGATAACATATAGTGCATATTAGATTAGAAAAAGAGGAAAAAGATGACTTGAATCCTGATTTAAAAAGAAAAAAAATGGAAAGGTGGGGGGGGGGGTCCTTACCCCAAGTGCCTATGGATTTTAGCAGTAAAACAAGAACATGATTTTGTTTGTTTTTGTTTATTCATTTTAACTGATCAATACATATAACAAACAAATTTGTAATTAAACAAGACTGTTTTTAATGCAACGAAAGCTGAAATCATCTGCATTCTATATATAGGTAAGTCAGCAAAATTTCTCTCTGGTGTTAAATAGAACAGCGTAATCGAGACATGGTGACCTAATTCGTTTCTCTATAGAGGAAACAATCGGCCGTATTTATCGCCCTTAGTAGAATAGAAATAAAGTCCTTGTTGTCATGAATGATGTAGAATAACCTCCACGGTCTCAAACTGTTGTTTGAAATATAAAAGCCTCGACTTTTATATTTCAAACAACATTTCGAGACCGAGGAGGTTATTCTGCAATATTCACGAAAACGCGGACTTTATTTCTTAAGTATTTATCAGTTGAATCAGTATTAATCGAATCATGAAATTTATTATCAAAGGCAAATTCATTGACTTGTATCAATTTCGGGAAGAGGGGGATGGGTGGGCTGTAATAAAAATTCCAAAATAAATAATTTGGCTTAATTCTGAAATGCATGTACATGTTTTGTCCTTTTATTCCTTTCAATTTAAAGGACTTTTATAATTATTATAGATTTCTTATAAGATACAAGTCTCCTACTTGAAACTATAACTCCATGCATGTTTCAAATGCTGAAGTGTTCATTTATCTATAATTTGTGCTATTCTGTACTTTGAACGTGCTACAATTTAAGTACGCATTGGGCAATGTACATGTTTTTGCGCCTACGCAATGCCACGTTGTCAAGGACTTAGTCCTGCGACTAAGCGTATCTTTTACGGCTAGACTTACGCCACTTGGTGAAACGCAAATTACACCCGACTAAATTGTGGCGTAAGCCCCGGAAGTACGCCTAAGTTAAGGCTTAAATGTACGACTTTTGATGAAACGGGCCCCAGGTCATTGCAATACAATTTGACAACACATGCTTGTTCTTTTTATGAGAAGGATATGGAAATAATGAACAGTATTCAATCTCAACGTCCATTAAACAAATATACAAAATAAGAGCAGAGCAAACACGGACCACCGAAACATCAGAGGTGGGATCAGGTGCCATGTAGGAGTGAGCATCCCCTGCCGACCGGTCACACCCGCCGTGTGCTCGTTGTCATAATCAGGAAATAACGGAAAAAAATCCGTGGTCAATTCAGTGTATAAATAATGGACTAACAATTGGTATGAAACAGGGGTTCAAAAATTGTTTTTGTCATGGTCAAGTCCAGGACTTAAAAAGTAAATTTTAGGCAAGTCCGAGGAAGAAATATCTGAGACCATATTTACCTATACATCATTAAATTTATGTAACTTATAATTTATTTTCATTTGTTGCGTTGAATGAATAAAGACTATATGCATTAATATATATGTTTTATTTTTCCTCCATAAACTGTCATGAGTATTTTAACACAATACCAGACTGATAGATTACTGGTACATTACAATAACTTTTTCAAATACTCACTACTGAACAAACCATCTGTTACGATAAGTAAAAATAATACATGAATGAAATTAATGCAATAAAGACAGTTTGATTATATATACTGCATTGAATGTGTATAATTTTGGTATTCAGCAAGCCGATCAGGCTTCTTAAATGATTTTCATTGACTTGACATCAAAATTCCCTGGACTCGGTCTTCAATTCACGTACATTATACTCTGTACTGAAACACTTTGACAACTTGTTCAACATATCCGACCCACAGTGTAGACTTGCAGAAGGTTAATTTGATTGGATGGTTCACTTCATTTTCCGTCATTAGGAACTTCAAGAACTCCCCGTCGGGACTCAGAAGATGAATCTGTTTGTTAATTTCGTCAGTAACAAGGATGTTACAGAGGGAGTCACACACCACATCACCTGGAAAAAAGACCTCTGCCGGGTTCTGTCCACGGTAGACAGACTTCATACGACCAGAGGGAGACAAAATCGGTAGATCACCAGTTAAAATATCTGTTATGTTCACAACACAGATATCACTGTTATTGTTCTGTGTGACTCTGTATGGAAATGTAAACAGTCTGGTCTGACCGTCCTCCTGGTACTCATACTCATGGATGACACCTGTCATTGTGATGTGTCTCACCAGACGTCTACTTTGAGGCTCTAATTTGCATTCAGCCGATTCCTTGTCTTTCAAGGTGACCAATAGTCCACCGTCCACTGACTGACAGATTCCTACTGGTTCCAGTGGATCTGTACTGATGACTGTAGACACAGATCCTGATGGTGACAGACGGCCGATGGAATTGTTATAATAGTCAGTGAAATAAACATCACCAGTATCAGTTACACAAATGTCGTTAGCAGCTTTGATATTATATTTCTGTTTTATCTCACCTTGTTTATTTACTTGTTCAATGTTATCCGACCCTAATTGTTGTATGTAACACTGATCTTCACACAATGCCCTCAATACACCTATATGTTTATCTTCAAATTTAAATGAATTTGTTTCAGTCAAACTGATATCATCAAAATCCAGAGTTTTCCCAATCATCTTCACCAGTACCTCATCACTGATTTCTCCTTTAACGTATCTCACTGAATGTTTACAGTCCTTTATATCGACATCCTGATCAGAAAGCATTTTTGTCAGTTCCCTGTGGCTGTCCATGAAGCCGTAATCTGACATGGTGCTGCTGTTTTCCTCCATAAACTTTACCATCTCTTCTATTTCTTTCTTCTTTTTGTTTAGCTCATATTTCATTTCATCCAAATTTTTATTTTTTCCCTCCAAATTATCTCTCAGTCTTTGTTCATTATTTTTCTTGATTTCTGTCAATTTGGCAATTATCTCTTCAACATGCTTCTGAATTTTTTTTATCTCAGAGTCGCATAGTTCTTCATTTTCTGTTATCTGTTCGGACACTTCCTCCATCTTCTCATCAATTCCAGGCAGATCCTCTTCCTCGATCTTCTTCAGAAATGAAAGCAAACCTCTCCTCCTTTTGGTGGCTGCCGTGGGTATAGTGCTCAATTCATGTTCATTATGATCTGTTTTAGCACATTTACCACAAATGAATTCATCACAATCCTCACATAACATATCAATGGGTAGATCGTGGGTTTTACACATTTCGATATGCTCTTGGGGAGAGCCCAGTGGATATTTTGTTTACTGGCAGCCATTTTTGTTGGGAGCCTCCTACCTATGACTTATATCAGATGTACAGGTAAGGTATTTATACCCTGATGTTATTTGGACTTTGTCTGATAACACATTACATGATATGCACGTGAGCAGTCAGGTGCGCGTTAATAAATCTAAATAGATAGAGGTTGCTTTACACTATATGTATATTAATATGTCACTGAATTACTTTTTGACAATATATATAGCATTAATTAGTCCTAAGGAATGGATCTTTGCTGGCAAAAGGGGTTTTGGTCCACCTTAAATTCTTTGCAGATAATGCCACCAAACTGTGTACTTTCATTTAAGATCCTTAGAAGCTAGGAGAGAAAAAGATTTCATGTTCCATGTCATTTTCATAAAAAATGGGCCCATGGACCACCATGTTCATTTGAGTTAAGTAGACCCTGCTGCTCTTAAACAAAAGATTTTTTTCTCTTTTGGTATATTCCTATGTATTGCTAAGAAACAGAAATAGACAACCTACATATCCGATGTATTGGGCTACAATCCTCATCCAAGTCAAAAGGCTCGTCTGTTCTCTATCAGCAGATCAAAAAACTCAAGACAGGGAGATATCTCTAGAGACGACTTGACCTGCTACAGTTTATTTTCTTTACTATCAGGTTATATCTTCTCATTCTTACTGAAAGATGTACTTTTCTTGGGGAAAAAAATCCTTTCCTTTCACAACTTCTGTGGTAAATAATTTTCTTGACTTTGGTTTAATTTGCAAAGTTATAAAAGTTTACTTGTTGATTGAAGATTGGTTAAAGCTCAGGTAAGTTAGAAAATCATACAAAAAAACAAACCCAGGTATACATTTGATTTTAATTTGCGTTTCCTCAATGCCGTGTGTTTCCCGTTACAATTACAGACTGAATGGGAAAATGTTGGAATTACAATGTTTACATTTTAAACAAGTTTAGTTAAGTTTTATTTATAGGATCTAAATAAAACACGTTTTCTTTCGCTTTTTTAACAGTAACAAGCCCCATACAAGTCGTAGATTGTGCAAAGCAGAACCATGCATTTTTTGACCACTCGGTCACCGTAAATACTCAGTATATATGTAATCTATCGAAAAGACGTATATGAAACTTGGACAAAGAATCGATACAAAGCTTAACTATTGCTACCCTCCGTGCTGATGGAATACTACATCTTTCAAATGCCGAAAAAAAGACTTGACCTAATTCGCTTCTAACTCCGAAGCTGTGAAAATCTATACCCCATACGCTTAAAACAACACTCCTATACTTTCTAGCTTCTCCCCCCCCCCCCAAAAAAAAAAAAAACAAACTAGCCTAAATGATGTCTCTAGGGATGGATATTACATGTATCAGACTTGCTTCAGTTGTTGGTTCTGACCTACATTTTCCAGATGAGTAACCAGGTCAAAGTAGAATAGTAAATTTTAGCCACATTTAAACCAAATAAGTAAAGATGGCGTTTCTACTTATGCATCTTCGCTAGCCAAAGGGTTTCTGATACGCTCCTCTCATCATATAAACCCTTGGCATACGGTGAAGTCAAAAGACGGGATTGTTTTTCGTCACGTGATCTCGAATCTACCAGGTACGCACAGATTACGTTATCGCCAAAAATAAAGACACGTGTTTAAAAAATTAAATCAATGTTTTTTTTTTCAAGAAAAATTAAGAAGCATGCAATAATTGAATTAGTCGCCCGCGTGGCGCAGTGGTTAGAGCGTCTGCTCTAGAGTCGCGAAGTAAGGAGTCAATCCTTACGTCGCTGGTTCGAATCCCATTGAGGGACGTGGAGACCGGTCCTTCGGATGAGACCTATAAACCGAAGCCCCGTGTCGCAGTAGGTGTTGGCACGAAAAAGATCCCTCACTGCTCAAAGGCCCTAAGTGCCGAGCATAGGTCAAAATTTGTAGCCCTCCACCGGCAAGTGGTGGCGTTTCCATATGAGTGAAAAATTCTCGAGAGAGACGTTAAACAATATAAAATCAATCAATCAATAATTGAATTATGATTATTTATTATTTATAGAACAAAACTGAAGCTTCAATATAGATTCTTAATAACATATTTAGAAGATATTGGATGACACCATGGCTATTCATAGAATTGAATGTTTTCGTACGGATCGTTGTTTACTTGCTTTTTTCATTTCCGGGATTAAAGAGTGAAGATGTATCCCCAACGCAAATATCGTCATTTACCAAAAACGATTGCTGATTGGTCGACCTGGGTCTACTGAAATCCAATCAGAACTCTGGAAAAAAAATTCCGTTTCTATGAACACCGTAGGTCAAGGGTTTGTGAGGAGAGTAGCGTATCAGAAACTCTTGGCTAGCGAAGATGTACTTATGAGCCTTGACTGCTGAGTTAGACCTACATTTTCAAGATAAATGACAAAGATAATATTTGTTGTGATTAAACCGACATGGGTAATGAAAATAGGGGATAGACAATACCAGACTTGCTGTAGATGTTGGTTCTGACCTACATTTTCTGGGTGAGTAAACAGTTTTTAAGCAGATCCGTTCCCAGATAACTTAATCATGCTTGAACCAAGCTTGAACTTGAAAAAATAAAGTGGACAAAAACTATATGAAGTATATGTATTTTTTATTTGAACAAAACAAAAAATAGCCATTAAAATTATTATTTTTGTGAATACCTATATTACTGTTATACATAAATCATTAGTATTATTAACGGTTTCAACCAAGGGAACAGTTTCTTTTATCATCTCAAATTTTACATTTGATCAATGTTTATTTGGATATTCCATTTTCGTAGAAGATTGCCAAATGGACGAATTGCTGTGTGAATAAAATTGTTTAACATAGACTGCATTCTGTCCACTAAACCGAGGTCACTTGAGGTCATGATCAACTCGTACGCAAATGATGCCATGTACGTGCGCATTCTTGTAGGCCCCTCAAACACTACTGATGTTTCCATACCGGTGGGATTGAAGCAGGATCTACCATCTGTAGTGTACAGAAAAATAAAGAAACAAGTTTTGATTAGTACGTGACATACCACTATGTCTACAATGGAAATAGAATGGGCATAGGCGTCGGAAGCAAATTGAAAGTAGGAATGACACGATTTTTGGATTATTACATTTTGCGTTGTTGCAAAAGTCAAGAACGCAAAATGTAATAAAACACTTTTTGGTCAGCAAGATTGAGTACAATGTTCAATGGAGTTGTGGTCGATGAAAAGAAAATCAAACAAAATGAAAGATAGATATGTTTAATGGAATTCAAAATCAATAACTTTTGAGAAATATTTGTAGAATTTACCTTCTAAACTTTCTATGAAATATTGTATTTTTAGAACAGGAAATGCTAAGCTTCCAATTGAAGCAGGAAGATGGTATGATATTGCAAGAGAAAGAAGAATTTGTAATATAAGGAAATAGGAGATGAATTTCATATTTTATTTAAATGCGCTGACCCATACATTTACTATTACGCCCTAAGAAAGTATAAGTTACATATTAAATATTCCGACTTTTCAATATGTGGGCACACTTCAACCCACCCTTCGTTTACGCCAATTGTTTTTAAATAGAATTGGGGTGTACTAACCGGCGTTGAATTGAAGGTCCCGGGCTATTTCTCCATCTTCGTAATAAACATTTGTGATGACGTCATCCTCGGCAGCTATACCACGTGTGATACAGAGTTGATCCGGGACGTCAGAGAAATGTACTCGAATACGTCCCTCTGGATAATTCCATAGTATACTACCAGAGGTGCAGGTCGAATTCTTTGTTTGCACACCCCGAGTTAGAGGATTGTTACTACTCCTGGAAAATAAATTCAATCATATACTTTATATTATTATTTTACTTACATAAATAATCATATTTTGGTGTTGTTTTTTTTATAGAACACGCATGTGTTGCGTAAAGGGACCGGTAAATATTGTTTCATTACTAAACTCTTTGCAGTATAAAAAATTAGAGAACATGATTGATTTGAAGTTGAATTGTATATACTAGCAGTGGTTGATCCGGAGGCGAACAAAAATTGCAGTCCACTCTCTTTGGATTTGCGAAAGAGAGAGAGAGAGAGAGAGAAGAATGTTCCAAATTTTTTTCGGTATTTTTACTATAGAGAATGTTCAGCAAAAGTCTAATGTAATATACACAGCCAATTGAAAGACATGACTTAGTATATTTTCAAATTCTTAAATCTCTTAGTGGTTTTTAAATAAAATAATGAACTTGGTCAAAGAAAAACGTATTTTCTCTATGAAATAGACTACATGATAACCAGATAATAAAATATTGAAATCTCTTGGTATGTCCACACTCCAACCTGCATCCTATTGAGTTAGTTTTAAAAAGCAATATGAGCTGCTTTGAGAATTTATTTGTATTATTATATTATTAATCTGTATGTAATCTAGACCTTTATGATCAATAAAACCAAAATAAAGTTAAAAAAATGTTTCAGAAGAATTTTTTTTTGTATAATCGAATATACAATATTATATAAGAAATAATTATTGTACAGGACGACAATAATTCAATTTTACTTTAATCGACGCGTATAAAAAGTTCTTTCATAGCAAAAATGACCAACAGAAGTTTATAAATGTTCTATTTTTCTGTCCTTGAAATAGTTCATTACAAAATTTGCAACATTTTTTTCCGATGTCAAACATGCAGCTCGTATTGCTTTAACTACATGTATAAATGTTAATTGTACGATATGATAACTCTCTTCTTCTCCCTCTCCCCTTTTTGAAAAATTTATGGATCCGTGCTTGTACTAGTATACATGTATTTTGATGAATGAGCCCTGAATTTATTGAATTATATTTATTATAGATATAATGCCAACAACTTAAACGTACTCACCAAAAATTGATCGTACATAAATCTCGGCTCCCTAACCGAAATGCCGTAGAAAATCCGGCTAGAATTAACAGGGAGCCTATCGTATACACCATAGTTCACAATAAGTCAGAAATTACACCCAGTGATATCAAATGAATAGCACGTTGAGGAATAATCAGACATCTCCACTTTTTATCAATTCGTCACCGGATTCCGGGGTTAAACTATTATTTGATTTAAAATTTGTTTACTGTTTATGTATAGATATAATAAAGGCATGCATCAGATACAGTGTCGTGTATTTCAAAATAAAGATTCAGTCTTTAGGTGCATGTCAAGTACTTGTGTTTTCAAAATGTTTCCTTATTTCATCTTGTGTTTGTTACTTTCTAATTTTTATTTAATGTTTGGAGGAATATTATATCAGCGTGATACTCAGAGGCGTAAGCACAAACTTAAAGGGGGGGGGGCTCAACTCCTGAAATTCTTTGACAAGCAAAAAAAACAAGATTGAAAGGGGGGCTAGTGCCCCCGCTGCCCCCCCCCCCCCCCTGTGACTACGCCAATGGTGATAGTACATTCGAGAAATCATGAGAAATAAGATCTGTTTTTTTTTAAATCTCCTTTCAACTCCCATATTTATGTACAAATTACTGAAATACGGACCGCATTATAAAATCTAATTGTCCATGTGTTCGAACTTTCTTGAATCGTGTATTATAAGTGGTCCTTAAGATATGTCACTCGTGAAATTCTTTAAATCAAGGATTTTTAAAGATTTTTTTTTTAAGTACTCATATGCGACTCAAAATGGTAGAAAAAAATAAGGGGTCAGTGTGCATCATACTTATCTAGGGTACAATTAATTTGATCTTTTTGCACTTAAACTTTTTAGTAAATTACTTTAAACATGTTAAATTTGATCATATTTTATCAGATGTTACCATGGTGATAAATATAGTTTGAATAATATTTATCATTGAACAAATCCTGCAAATCAATGCGCATAGGTTATTGCGTGACCTTTTTGCACTAAAAAGTAACATATTCGGGGGTGTAAAAAAAATAAATACTTAGTAAGCAATAAAAACCTTTCCTTAAATCAAGATTTTAACGACTTAAGTGCTAATCAGTAACAATTATTGAGTACTTTAAAAAAAAAACGAAAGAAAAGGTTTTAAATTATTGGTCAAAATATGTGATTTTCAGGCGAAAAAATTTATAAATTTTATCTAGACTTATTTTACTTAAGCCGTTTTTTTTTTTCAAACAAAATTATTAACAAAAAAACAAAACAAAACAAAAAACCTTCCCCCGCCCCACCCACAGACGCAAGTTCGGCATGGACAAATTTCGCTGCATTTCATTTCCGGAAATATGCATAGCATTTCCGACATTTTTTTTTATTTCATTTCCGACATTTTTTGTTTTCATTTCCGACATAATTTCTTTTTCATTTCCGGAATTTACCCGTGCGACAATTCAATGTTTTCTAAGTAAAAGAAAATGGAATTTTGAAAGTATTTATACCAAAATATTAATAAAAATAATAAAATCATCTATGCATAATATATGCATACATGTAGCACCAAGTCTAGGTAAAAGAGTTCAATGAGTATAAATAATTTTCAACACGTTTAATGTGCACTAAATTAAATGTCAGTGACAGCATCATACTTATGTCCAAGTCACTGACAGATTAATTTACAAAATTAGAATTAAATGATTTATTTATGATTTATTCCTTTAAATTTTTCATAAGTAAAGCTATTAAATCTATAGGTACTACATATGTACCGGTATATGAAAAATGTCGGAAATGAAAACAAAAAAATGTCGGAAATGAAAACAAAAAAATGTCGGAAATGAAAAATTGATAATTACCTAAATTTCCGGAAATGAAATGCAGCCAAATTTAAGGGGGAAAACCCCATTAACAACTAGAATCTGATTTATCCGAAGAAAATTTAATATTTTTTCCCATATGAAATCCTAAACACAGGGTTCCGGTTTAATGAGATAAACCCTAATAATTTGGCAATCAACTGACAATAAAAAACAATATGCTATTATTGTTTTTTGAACAGTCGATTTGATTATTGCTATCGGATTTATTTATAAAAATCATCGCTGTTATGCAGTAATTAATATTTGAAGAATTCTGTCTATTTTTTCTAAATGAGAATATTTTTGTCAAATAAACTGTGTTGTTTTTAAAAGAGAATGACAGTGATTGAATCATGCCCCCTCCCTCCCTCACCCCCTCTTCTTCACACACACAAGCCAATATATAATCAGAGTCAACAATAAAACATCTGATGTCACTTGATCGTGTTTTTATTACAATAATACACCTACTGTTTGTTTCTCACACTTCTACTCGCGGGTCAAAGTCGCATACTGGAGGTTTTACTCAAGTTTATTGACTAACGTGATTTAATATTTTCAGAACTAAATCAATAAACAGGTTCCTATCAGATTTAGACTAATTGTCTCCCCTTTGTTACAGATTATCCCCCTTTATCTGACATTCTATGTGTTGAATGGTTGCGCTACATTTTATTTATTTTCAAGTTTACGTGCTATTGGTTTAAGGTTTTTTAAAAAGCTGTTTTATCACTTTATTAAGGTGAAAGGTGAGAAATTTTTGTTGAATAATTGACATATGATTAGCAACTAATTGACACGATTGTTAACTCCGCGTAAAGACATTAGCACAATTGGCTTAGCTTCTTTGATGTTTTATAATCTTGTTGGGTGTTTAATCAAGTGTAATTTTAAACTCATTAAAGAATTTATCATCCGATAAACAAGGTATGAAGACAGTTGAGGAATTAACTGAATTATTTTAATTAAGATTTCTTTGAAGCAATGATTATAATTCAGGGATTTCTTGAAATCTACCTCAAAAAACTAATTAAAAATACGTATATTACAGCGTAAAACGAATTTAAAAAATCAAAAAATTAATAAAATATCTAAAAGAAAAAAATACAATGCAAAATCTATACCATCAGATGTATAAGCATCAAACACATTAATTAAATCTTTGAGTTATTTTTGTGTATACATGTACATTTGTAGCTAGAGACAAAGAATTGATATTCTGTAAATTGATATAAATGTTATTAATGAAAAAAGTGACTTATCGATCCAGTGGACCGGGTACAGATTCTGTTTGACGTATTTTGTTTACAATGTATATTGAAATGTCCATAATGCACAATGTCACTACAATAAATGATTACTTACTTACTTATAGAGAAAATATATGAATTTATATACTTACCGTGTGTTATTCAAACTATGCATATATTTGAATACCAAATTCAACTAATTATTTTCAGAGTATATAATGTTGAAAAACTGTTATTTTAAGATAAAAGAATATTTTCAAAATCAATAAAATATTTAAGTAAAATAAATTTAAAAATAAAAAAAGTAAAGAATTTCAATTCTTTGCAAAAAATCTAATTTTGAAAATAATGCTTAATGTGCATGATACTTATTACTAAAATGATCGAGAGGGGGAGAGGGGTTAAAATAGGAACTAAATGTATGTATATTTTCTTTGATTTCATAATTTTCCTTTGTAAGTTTAAATTTTGAAATTGAAGAAAATAAAATTAATTTTATTCATTTAAAAATAAAAATTTGATCTGTATGAAAATGAATTATCTAACATTTAATATGTCTCACAAGCTTTGAGAAAAATCCAATTTAATTTTTTTTTTTAAATGAGCTAACAAATGCCACTGATAAGCTTTTTTTTAACTAAACCTTTTTTTAATTTGAAAATATTTATCGTCTATCTGTTAAATTATAGTTCTTCCTTTTTATTTTTGGAATGTGAAGTCAATAATCGATAGACCTCGATAAACATAGTTTTTACAAGATTTGACAAATTTCTTATGGATTTAAGAAAAAATGTGATAATTTTGCTCTAATGGTTCAAAACCTGTAAATTATATCTATTGTATGAAGCAGTTATAATTGAAATCTTGTGGCTTGCTTAACAATCCGTGATCAGCTACTTCAAACGGAATCGAAGACGAGAAGTGTGAACCCATTGTAACACCGATTAGCAAGTTGTTTACACAACAACAGTGTAGAAAAATTAGCTTAATCACCGTCAATTGCAGAAAAAGGCCAAAATCAACGGGCCGTGGTAATTATCCATTATAGGACAAACACGGCTTGTGTTTGTTTAAGCAGCCTTTTAGCCAAGCCAAATTAAACAAAGGGTGATACTTTCCACTCATTAAGACAGCATTGAAGATTAACAATAGGATTAAGTGTCAATTGGGGGATGAACGAAGTTACGGAAGTAATTAAACAAATTAAAATCCCGGGTATTTAATAACATCTCAGACCAAGAGCAGATCATTCCTTCACTGTCATTCACTGAGCTAACATTGAAAAGCACACATTTAAAAATATATTTGGGATTTACAAGAAATACAAATCGAACAATGTTGTCCGAATCCAAACCGAAGAGGGCCTCGTTTTCGATTGAGTTCCTGGCCAGAAGCAGTCATGATGAGGAGAAAGAGGAGGTGAAAGTTCAACAATTCGTGTCCCCAAAGATTGTTTCAGATGTTGTTTTTCAGCCTATAAAGAGATCGGACTTGATTGGTTCACCTTTTTTAACTCCAGAGAGGTTTACAAATACAAAAACTGTGTCGCCACATACCATGGGAAACGGTTATCCTCTAAAGTTGCCTCTGATCTCGCCAACAAATTCATCTGTAAAGAGGAAGCGGGAGGATTCGTGCGACTCCGGGGTAGAGAGTCCCTCCCCAGATCGATTTCGTCACATCAGCGAGGCTAGCAACTCATCCAGCAACTGTTCCTATATTTCAGGTATAAAACAAAAACCTTTGGAAACTATACATTAAAATGAACCCATACTATTGAGTATAAGATTATTTAATTTGATAATATTATAAAATTTTGTTACAAATTTTTTTTTAGAAAATTTTTTTTTAAAATTATTTTTTTATTATTATTATTATTATTATTATTATTTTTTTGCATTTTAAAAATAATTTTCTATATTTATTTTAGATCTCGATGATAGTGACGATCTGCACAAAAGGAAGAAAGCCCGCACAGCATTTTCTACAGAACAGATTAACGACCTTGAAAAGAGATACCAGTTTCAGAAATACCTACCCGCCAACGAGCGCCAAGCCTTAGCAGAGAAACTAGGCCTCTCAGATCAGCAGGTAACGTATTCTCTTATAATGAATGAACCAAAATGTTCTGATTATTTCAAAAGTTCATTTTCTCTACAAAATTCATAATATTACATAAAAAAAAATACTAGTATAACATTTAAAAATATTTTGATCATAAAAAAACATAATAATTAATTTTTTATTCATATGATATAGTATTTATATTTTTATTATGCTTTTAGGTCAAGACTTGGTTCCAGAACAGACGTATGAAGGAAAAGAGACAGAAGAGGGACGACGAACACGCACGGACATTCAGCTTGCCAACAGGTGGCGTGGATGTCTCCCAACTGACCGCTCTTGGCCTGCCCTGCCCGCCACCATACAACATGAGTGCCACAAACTTCGCACAACTTCCTGGATTCACACATCATTCCCCTCAGTATCCTATGACGTCATCTCCGGGACATTTTCCAGCAGTGCTTCCTCACCACGCGTCATTTCCTGTCAGCCCTGCCTACTTACAGAGACAGTCGTATCCACATCCGGTCCCGTACATGAGCCTCTCGCCAAATCTTCCATCACCAAAACTAGGACAGATCCCACGAGGGCAGGAGAAGAGTGGTGTTTGAACATTTAATTTATTTATTTCTGAACATTACTTGTGTGTGATATTTGCTAATTTCTGAACTCTGTTGAGAGAACTTATGTGTGATATTTGCTAATCACAAGCGTGTTTTATGTGCCAAATGTGAATAAATATATTTTATAAAAATCTGAAATATGTTGTGGTTTTACTTCCTTTATTTTATTTACTTCAAGCATAACTATTTGTAATTTCAAATACAGAACAAATCTTAATGAAAGAAGACGAGTTTTAGGACTAGGCTTAGTTTTACAGTAATATGAAAAATTGCAGAAAGAAGGTGTACAAAGAAAACTAATCAAAATTTCTACATGTACAAGATGTATATATATATAAATATTTAATTTCAAAAGTCTAACTATTGCAAAACAATGATGGTCCAAAAAGACACGATAATTGTTAAAATGAATAATCGATTTCTTTTGTATAATGTATGAATGTATACAAATTTTATTCATATTAAAAGTGAAAGCATGCCATTTTTCTCTCGTAGAGTTGTCGAACATTCTCCAAGAAGTGCATCAAGATTTACATCGTTGGTAACTCACCGACGACCTCGCTTCTGAAGCGAGACCGATCGACCACGGAGTTCGAACAATGGCCGATTTATGAAAGATGTGAAATTGCCACTATTTTGTTACAATACAGGATTATGGATGACTTGTTTAAATGTTGTTCAACATAATTGAACCAAACCGATTTCTTAAAATAGTTTGTGCAAATTTATTTATATAAGAATATTATGTTAAACATACATTGTACTCCCAATAAATAATGTCTCTAAGCTAAATATTTCTTTTGAAAAACAATAGATGAGGAAATCGTAATATTCAAACTTAAAAAGAAAAACTTAACTTTAGTTCAGTTGAAAAAAAAGACAAAATCATTAAAAAAATGTTTGGGATACATACATGTATATAATATTTTTTAAAAAAATATTCCAAATAAAAATTCTTCGCAATTCATTTAATTCAATTATATATAAACAAAGTCATTCAAAGTATAAAACGATGGGAAACCAAGAACAACGAAATTGCAAACATTCAACTTATGTTATGGGCGAACATTGGATACAAAACATATATTAAATAAAACATAGTGTAAATTTTTAATCTGGGTAAATTCTACATTTTTTTTTTCATGAATACTGTGAATTCTACTTGTAACAGAGATTATTTCAAACAGACCTCATATGATTTCTTTTGTCTGTGTATATAAAATTTAGTCGGTGACGTTCTGTTAATGGGATTGACACCCCAAGAGCATTAATGAGAACAGGCGACAGACGGAGTGATTAACTGATTTTTCCTAATTAAAATGACACGTCTGAGATGATCATTGAGTGAACCTCTGTTACACACACATATGTACAAAGATTTTTCTGAAATTTTATTCTAGAAAAACACATTGTCATCGTAAAAATAACCAAACACAAAGAAGTATTTTATCTATATTTATTGCAGATTTTTCTTTTAAAACTATAATAATCGATTCTCTTGTCAGAGACTGAAAAACTCCATACTTAGTTGCAGGTGCGTTATTATTTTACACGCGTAACAACCTTGAATTAAAAAATCGAAGTGTAAATTAGTTCACATGGAATTGTCTCATTATAAAAATCTTACTAAAAGTCACCATAATACATAAAACTCGGAGAAAAATATAAGATGTCAGTTGAAAATAGAAGGGAGAAAAGAAAAAAAAAAAATGAAATGAAAGTAAGATAAATTATGTTTCTTATTTTAAGAAATATATAAACATCTGTAACACAAGGACTCAATTTTCAAACAATGAATAGTAAACTTTTTTCGGACTCTAATTGTAGTCCAGTAAATGCAATGTTCAAATTAAAAACTTCATTCTCCCAATTTTTAAAACTGCATTTTTTAGCCACATTAAACTCATCGTAAATTCGATAAGATTCCTGATTGAATGTATGAATATTTCAACGATTTTTAGGAATTATAAATTGAAAGTGACGTGACCCCACATCAGGGGGGGGGGGGTCCTAAAAAAACACGAAAAGGGCGTGTTCCGTTCTCATCAACTCTGTATAAAAGTCAGTCAATTATGCGACGCGCTATTGAATGAGTAATATTATGTCACGATACAAGTAATGATTTTTTTTGAGGTATAATTATTTGTAGAAATCTTTGCCTCTTCTCTCAATCTTCACTGGATAACAAAATACCTAGTCGTTTTCCCTGTCAAGATTCCGATGTTTTTGGAGCCTAGAAAAAATGAAGAAGAGGGGTCATTCTCAAGTACAGTACACCTTATTTACTAATCGATACATGAACTTATCGATATCTACAAAGCAGGGACTAAGGAAAAAAAGTTTCATTCTAATTGAATAATTCATGCTGTAAATTCATGGATGTCAATATACTATATAGTATTGTGTGTGTGTGTGAGCTGAGAGAGAGAGAGAGAGGTTTAATGGCTATTTTCATTTTAATCTTTTTCGCGAATTTATATATGAATTAAATTTTTTTTTTCACTTTTGCAAGAAATGTATTCTCGTCCCTCATTAGAGGGTGCAGGTCACACTTCTATATCTTAATTTGCACTTTATTTGTCATATGTGTAACATCACCAATATCATTTATATAAGTTACAACACAGAACTTAAGACACACAGCAACACACCCTTACTCCTTCACCCTCACACACAAACAAAAAACTAACGAGGCAAACAAACACACAGAACACATAAACAACGAGTAGGTTAGTAAGATGTTTTGTTAAAAATGAGAAATTCAAATCGATGCGGTCTCCGACCTTTTTTTTAACTTCATCACTTGCTCCAAAGTTTAGTCTACTAGATGGATACAAACCAGCAAGCCAAGTCAAAAGTATGTAACATTCTCCATTGGGCTAAACAAAGAAAATTTAAAAGAATATATACTCACCGCCATATACAACAAATGCAGCCCGATTTCTACCATGCATTAAGTTTATTAATGTCTTAATCTAAGCGAAATTAATATTCTTGGGCATTTTTAAATACAAGTTTTTCAGATATTGCGGTCGAATTTTCTCTAACCTTGCGTAGTGTAGCAACTTTTTGACTTCCGGTCAAGAAACTGCCATTTATGCTATTGAAACACATGAACCTGATGAGTTGTTATATAGTGTATATTTGCATCTACATCTCTTTTTTTCTTTATTTTGAGAATTTCTAGCATTAGCAATGAAAATCAGTCATTTTGAGGAAATGAAGGCATCACATTTGGTAAAGAAAGAAAGATTTTTTTCCTGGCCTTTTAGAACAATACTTATGATTAACAGTTTCAAAGCCTTGAAAACCCAAAATATTGTTAAAAATTTTATTAAAAATGGAAAATTTTGAATTCTGTTAAGAGGGCTAAAAAGCAACTTCCGGTAATGGAAAGAAATTCATTCAAGCGTTAAATTACTGATTTGGCAAAGTAAAAGATGTCCTAACTTTTTTGGTACATAGTTATAACCTGTATATAATTTTCATCCTAAATTTAGGGTGTTGCGTTTCCATTGACGGTGAGTATACATATCCATAGCTAATCATACATTTTGTTTTTTTTTTTCAGAGAGACAGAGAGAGAGAGCATCCTTAATCTTTTACGAGGGACATTTAAAAAAAAAATAACGATCTACTCCTTTTTATGTCAAGTTTTAAAAAATAGTTTTCGTATTATAAAAGAAACAAACAATGTAAGAGATTATCAACTATTCCACATTATTATTAAACCCTCTCCTTAGTAAATTGAAACAGTCAATATTACATTGAAAAAGAGTACATTGTACTGTAGTAAGAGTGGACCAAAGTAGTGAAGTCGATCATAATTCCGCCCTAAAACATAAGTATCCTCTGTGTCAAATTAGTCTAAGTATAAAATGTTATGACACACACTTCCCAATCAATAACAGCATAACTATCCGAGATACGATGAGCAGTTCCTGTCATAAATCAGATTAACGAAAATGAATGTCGATAACTCGAAGTTGTCTCGTCTCGAAAAATACAACTTTCTTCCAGACGGTGTGATTCCTTATATTTAATTGTTTGGCTTACAATGAACACGAACAAATTACTATCATATCAATGTATCCATCACTGTCATATAATACCGCCATCTCAATCAGACTTCGGATGTTACAAAGATGGCGTAACAAAAAAGTCCCGAGTTATTATGTCAGACACGAGGTCACCGATTTCCGTTTTTTCTTTTGGAATTATGAAAGAAAACAGGATTATTCTTAGGTTATAAACGTCAATACAAATTGCGTCTAATTTTGTTTGTCACAAAACATTACTCCAGAAATTAGCTTTGTTGTGTTTTATGGTGGAATCTGGGTTACGTCTCTTTGATTAAGGACCAATTACAGTGTATCCTAGCTTGCTCTGGGTGTAACTCAATGCAGCATGTAATGTCGGTTCTGTGATGCTATCAATCTAGTGGTTAAATAGTCTCTCATTCTGCGGTTTTCGTCATTCAACAAGTTTTCTAATCGCACTGAAAACCTTGTACGCTTTGATCTAGAAGAAGAATAAGTATTCTCAATATTCTGGAGAAAATTGCTAACTACAACCGTCGGAATCTGCGATCATAAGAATATATACTGTAATAAGGAATTTTTTAAAGATGTTTTATAAACGAAAATTGAAACTATACCGTAACAATGGCGTTCTACCTTATTTCTTTGTTACCATTTTGATATCTATGTTATCATATATATAGACCATATCTTTATGTACTCTTTAACACCCTCCTCCTTTCACTAAAAGACGATTCTTATTTTTAAAGTAAAACACAGAGTAAAAGTAGTAACTGATACAGAAGAGTGGTTATTTTTATGCTCCGTGACCTAAGATTTTGAATTTTTTTTTTTTTGTTGCTTCTCAACTTTTTCAGGTTAGTAAAAAAGAAAATTTTCTCTGGCTGGCCTCCCACTTTCAAAAACGATGCTACGCGCCTGTGTACAAATATGTTATGTACTTTGTAACAAACAAACAAATTTGAAAACCACCAGTTTTGATCCAAGACCTTTGAGTTTGACCTGCTTTTGAAAATCTTTAGTATAACTTAAAAATGGTGAGTGCAAAGTCTTTCTTATTTCACTGGTTTGTCAGAGACATTCTTCTTTTATCAACGTCATTCTTTATAGCCAAACACCGGCAAACAGTGGTAGCATACAATAAAAAGTATCATATGGTAACCTTTCTTTAGTTCTATCTGTGCATCGTCAATTTTCTACGATTAAGAGATGTCTGACCTCATTTCAATGTTCTGACAGCAATACTTGAAAGTCCAACCATTGCTGGAAATGTCATATCCCGGTATATCATCCACACTGGAATGACATATACGTTCTTCTATATAAAAATACCTTTTCGGCTTATTTTCAATTTATGAAATATTTCATAATGAAAACTATCCTTCCGTGCAAAATGCAGCATGTCACTCCAAACTACGCTACACATGCGCAATCCACAAAAACTTTACAAGCAACGTATCAAAAACGCTAACTCTTTGAAAAAAAACAAGAACTTATCATATCATTAATGAAGTTACTTTTATGTATTCATATAAAAAAGAAACTATAGATATATATTTTTTCTACTTTCACATTTTGTGAACGAAAGTCACACAACGTAAAATTTCATGTTTGTTCTCAGTCACTGAAAATAAAACAAAACACTACATTACTCAGACTCAAAACTTATTTACAAATTGAATATGCAAAAACTATTGCAATAGTTATATATAAATAAAACAATCAATAAACAATAATTTTTGTTCATGCTCGCGAATTGCTTCACTACAGTTCTATATAAATAACACAGCTATGATCGCAATGCTCACACCACCATGCAGAAAAAAATTGTCATACTTGGCTGCACAAAGCGGGCTGTCGCACGGGGTCAGAATCGTTGGAAGACGTATCTTGTGATGACGTCATCGAGTAGTTCGCCGAATCGCGTCTCGACACTCCCTTCGTGTTCGATATGAAAGTCTGAGGTTTAGGGTAAACCCTGTGGGGTGACCCAGAATGTTGGTTTGGCACTATATCAGGCTGCTTAGCACCTTTAAAGTTTTCATACTCGTCTTCCGACAATACTGCTGTAATGTCTGTTACATTTGACTGCGCCATCCCACTCTCTGTCAGTGATAGCGACGTGTCCATCGACGTTTCATTACTCTGTGATATCCTCTTTGGCGAAGTGAGTTCTTCCGCTGTAACTATATTTGAAGGTTTGTAAGGAGATAGTTCACCAGATGGCGCTTTATTGCCAATTTGACTAGCGCACCTTCGACTTTCGGACGATCTCATTGGCCGACTTAAAAGAGGCTCTGATGCATTACTTCTAATATCATCTGAACTGGTAGACAAGTCATTTATATTTGTCAAATAGTCAGCATTAGTCTTATTTTCAGAATTTATTGTGCTGTTTCTCATGGCAGCTAGCATTATGTTGTTATGGCGTCTTTTGGATACTTGTTTCATTTCCGGATCCGAGCTCCGCCTCTGAAACTGAGACCGAGGCCCGAGGCGGTGAACATCCGCCACCACGTTAACTTTATTATCGCCCTGAACCGGTGATCGACTCCGCCCAGTATCTCTGTCACACAAACTTCCAAGAGAATGACGCACTGGGTCGTGGAATGTGACGCAACGCGGTCCGCTTCGTCTGTGTCGATTTCTGCGCACTATAACGTCATTAGGGAAGACATTTTCAATACTGTCCTCATTTACGGGAGATAACGCTGTTCCGTAGCGATCGTCCTCTGATGATAATCCTACCTCACATTCATCAAATCCACTCTCACTCGGCGTGATGTCAATACTCGGCACAGACCCTGGTCCTCGCCTTCTGTCCAGACTCATGTCTTTAAGCTCAACCGAACCTATCGAGATGGAGTTCGTTTTTGAAAGTCGGTCGCTCTTTATCACAAATATCGGCTGACCAACGTTGGCGTAGTCAAGAATTCGGAACATCCATTCCTGCTTGATTGTTAATAAAGTCCACAAGAAAATCCACGTGACTAAGTAGCAGACACCCACTACCAGGCATGCCAAAAGACAGCCGTCTGACGTCAGACGGTAAACTGCTATAACGTCATAATAAATAGGACCACGGAAGACCGCCAGTAAAATAAAAATCACAACAGCACTCGAATGTGAGAAATACCCATTACAGGTTCCTTTTGAAATCACAGATTCGTTTTTGTAATTATCTGGATTGTGTTTTCTGTCCACTTTCCTGAATTTTTCCATGAAATGATAAGCACTGTATTCAAACACAACATACGACGAGAAAAACACAACGACACCGCTCACAATATACAATCCCAGAATTCCATTTGAATTCAAAATAAGGTCAAGGGGGTGTTCGAATCGGTTTGATGATGAACTTAATTTGTACAAAATAGAAAATCCTGCATACATAAAAATTGAATCAAAGGTCATGAAAAGAAGCTCAATGGCGAAAATAAATGAGAGAGTTTTGTTTGTATACCAGAAAACTGCAGAGTAACGCATTGCGAACGTCACAAACGCGAACACAAAGTTGAGGAAATTCGGAGTGATGTAAGCAGTTTCTGGAGAATAACCCGTGAAGTTGGCCAATCCCACGGCGCTGATATTTTTTGCGAGGAAATCACTGGTTAATGATCTGACGTCAGAATACAGGAAGTCAATTTCTGTCCTCCATATTGACTCTGAAAATAAGATGAATAATACAAGTTATTTCTGTTACAAAGGACAGGTTCTCAAAACTTTGGAGTAGATATTGAATAAAGCCATCTGTGTATATATTTACCTAAATATGTATATCGTTTCATAATTTTGTTTATCCCTTTATATCGGTCACAAGACGTTTGTTCATAACAAATGAGAGTTCCGATACCAATTGTGATGCCACAAATATTTAATGTGCAATTTTTTTTTATAATGTTAAAAAAATCAATAAAATACAAGCTAATTCAGAAAATTTCTGCACCATCCACGGTCCAGGAAAAAAATCTTTTAGGTTAAAGAAATTCATGACCTTATGTTTCATTGCAAAAGCTTTGAACGAGAAGGAATATGAAGTGTTTATATGCAAAATACAAATTTTTGACCTGTTTTTTTTTTTTTTTAACTTTTTGACCTAAAAATTAAAATTAACAGATATATGTCATTTTAAACATTCCAAATTTCAAATATGTACTAGTATTTACTAAAAATTCCAAATTTCATTGCAAAAACCTCAAAGGCTTTTAAGGATGGCTTTCCGGAAACAATTGTTACACATTGACAGAATGTATATATGAACTTTGAAAGCTTGATCTTATATATGAACTCTGACCTTGACCTTTGCTATTTTTACACAAAATAAATATGGGCTCTCCTTGAGGTAAAAAAAAGTTATTTCATGATATTAAAATTAAGTTTTAAAAAAATATCTTTAATGTTTGAAATGAAAGCGATACAAACATACAAAATGTATGGATTTGTGATGACCTTTGACCTCAAAATCAATAATTTATATGGTTTTTTTAGCCATTGGGTAGTTATGAAGAATAAAACGTTATTATTGCGAAAGCTCAGATATCGTCACGATTGACAAACTCAGCATCAGTGGAGCAACATCTGCAGTGATACAGTACCATTACAAGCAAATGAATGAACAGCTGATGAAGCTTAAATCTAAATTTCCTGGTCGTCCTTAATTGAAAAGGTTGAATGGGTAAAGTGAAAGAACCATTTCTTAATTAAAGCTCGTGAATTGAATCTTATTTACCGGTATTTCGGCAATTTAAGCAATTTTGAACACTTTCTACGGAGACCCAGATAGAAATAATGGTTCAAAGAAACACAATGTTTATCTGAATATAAGGTTAACTAGATACTATAGCCACAATTTTGCATAATTCTAAACAGCCCAGTCATTTATAGATATAGAAACCCGTTTTAAAGAATAAAATTGTTAATAATGTTACTTAGAAATTCAAGCAGACTGCCTTTAAACAACATATCACCTGTTACATTAATTTGTTTAAAAAACACTTGGCCAAAATAAACCGAATTCCAACACGATGACTTTCATTCTAATGAAAGGCACCAGGACCACATGCAACACAAATAAATTATGTCTTCTCCTCACCTCGCAAATAGCAGGAACGAAAATATAAAGAGATAGGTTGCAAATTTCATTTTTCAATTCTGATGGGTGTTTGTTCTAAATACTAATTAGAGAGTAAATTAAATTGATTTTTGGAGAAAATGAATGTACAAAAACTTCCAACATGCGATACAAAAGCACTAGAAAGTATGAATATAGTTTAACCCCCTTGAAACTATGATTGGAAATGATTGCTTGTCCATCAGCAGAGATCGTGATAGGCTCTGATACGGTAGGTTACAAATTCATTAAGACCAATCCGTCTGTATTGTATTTTGTCGATATCCACTCAAACAAGCCGAGCGTACTGCAAAATCTGCAGATTTGTTTTGACGACGAACATTTTCGTTAATAAGGAATGGGAATCTGCCAAAGATACATGAAGACAATGGGGGGAAGACCCAGAAAGAGAAGCCCCTCTGGTTACGCTGAACAGTCATGTGACGGATCGTCAGGATTTTAACGAACCGTGAAACAAACGTGAGAAAAATCAATTAAAAACAATAGAACACATGGTCCCTCTGAGTGGGTGTTCCGAATTTGTGCCAAGGCTTCACCCTTTTTAACGGTGTTTATATGTTTGGTTAGAAATATTGCAAAATAAAAAGAGAGAATGAAAAATAAAGGAAATGGGCAACTCAGCATAATTTATTATTTTTTAAAGTAACTTTCAATATTCCAATATACGGCAAGTAATTTAGCTGTTTTGAAAAGTTCTAGGCAATTTGACATTTGAAATCTTTTTTTGTTTAATTGAAGATTAGACACGAGTTTTAAACAAACAAGAAAAGTCATGTACCTACTCATTAAACAAATGGGAATGGATAGAACTTCATAGTGGTCGGGATATTTATGTTGGCATTACATAACAAGTTTTTTCAGATCAAACAGATTCTTTTACGGTGATCAGATAAACTTTGCTTATTCTAAACAGTTTCTCTCAGTTTCACAGATCAACAGGTTTGTAAAAGCAAACATCCGTACATACATGCACACATCATCGGAACAAAGTCATTGAAAACACCTGTCTGGAGTAAGGCACTCAGAAAGAACAGGTGTCTCAAAGACTTCTTTTCCCTTCCAAATAGCTTCATATTTCAAGAAGACAGGATTTGGCACTTAAATATTTAAGTGTAGATTCATATTGCGGCACAATAGTTATAAACTCCGTAGGACTTAGAAGCTGTCACTAATACCAGCGATTAGGTGGACCATCTAAGCTAGCTAAGCTATAACAAAGAAGCCACAATAGAAATTATATCATGTACATGTGAAAATTGAATACAAAATGTTCAGGTGAGCATGTGGATCTTGGACCTCGTACAAAATGGACAAAAGTCCATATAATCAATCGTGGCCATTTTCTGGGGTAGGAAAACGTTGTTTTCGGTTAATATTGGTCTCCCAGATGAATATGAAAATTAAATTCCTAAACTTACTGCACATCTGCGAGAACACATCAATTATATTGTAATATATGAAAAGTAAAGTTTGTTTCTGTGCGAAATGTATAGAAGTTCTCCATGAATGGGGTTTTGAAGAAAAACGTCCTTTTCGGCCCCCGATCAAGCTCCTGTATAAAAATTCCAAAAACCGTATAGCATATACCTACAGGAAATCATCAATCACATTTCCAAAGGCTACTTTGGCTTCTATGTGAAATGTATGGAGTTCCGAGAACCTGATTTTTTGGTACAAATTGAAAACATTTGTTTTCAAACACCAATTGATTTCAGCGGTAAAAGAACTGGACACATGAGCTCAAAACCTTTATTGTGCATGTTAAGGACACCATAAAATATACTGCCAAAGATTAAACTGATGGAACTTACTGTAAAAAAAGTTTAAGGAAAAAGTTAGTATACAGGACGACAGGGGTAAAAACTTAAAGTTTTCCCTAACTATTTTGGAAAGTGCATCTACAACAAAGTGTATGTCAGTACACTGGAACAGATTTGTTTGAATTTAAATAACCGATTACATTAGAACGTGTCAATCAGATAACTTAAGACACACGACGAAGTTAAACTTTCTATTTTGATTTCTGTTAAATGAGGTCTGGATTGTTTCTTGTAGATCAGTTGTGAATGCTCCATTTATTACGATTAGTTGTAGAGCTTTACTGCGATACACATTACGTGAGCCACGACAAATTGGAACCACTAACTTTGTTAAATTTTGATTTACACACCACCCTATCTCAAAGCGACGAAAAAACTTTTTAACAAATTTACAAACGAAATTGAAAGCACTTGAGCAGGTATCAAAATGTCTGAACATTTTACATCCTATGGAGATTTTAATGTCTTTAAATTTAAATACTTTGAACTATCTTAGTTGAACTTGATAATATTGTATAACAAACTTCAGGGGAAAAACCTTAATTTAATAACCAGAATAACCCGTTGTTTTCCTTAAGATAGCGAAGAATCACAGGAAATGTTTTGTTTGTACGTAACGCGTGTATTTGAACCTGTCTAAGATTCCCGAGGCTTCACAGCCCTTTACAGTTATAAAATACACGAAAAGCTCATCATATTGTTATCTGGTTAGAGTGGTAAAAGTTTATTTTTAAATTAACTCGAAAAATATGAGTTTTTAACAAGAATATCAACAATCTCGTTCAAGGTATCATTTTGCAAGTTCTATGGTCGACATGATGCCCTTGTCAGAAAATACAATGTATCACTGAGTCAAATGCTGATGGACTTTTTCAGACTATTGTTAGGCCATTTACACACTAAATTGTTTACGGATTTCCTTTCTTTCCCGATCATGACAGTGGGCAGGGGATGCTCACTCCTCCTTGACACCGAATTTTCAGAGATACTTGTTTGGTCAGCTGCGGATTTGTTTAGGTCAAACGACAAGTACTTTTACTTCTGAGTTGAATATAGGTTCCATATTTCCTTTTAAAGCTTACATACAATTTTAAATCGTATCAAAAGTTAAATTTTGAAACTCTTATCAATTTTAAAATAAAGGAATAAGTTTATGGTCAGATTGACTTTGATCTTTTCGAAGTACATGTATTAATTATATGTTAACGATGTTCGATTCATTTGTTAATTGTGACAAATGGAAGACGTTCTTTGGTAAAACGTCTAGTTATTTTATTATTGAATCATGGTTCTTTATAAATCCCTGCTCTCTTTCAAGAAGTGACTAGACTTTGTCTATATTCTTTATACAAAAAATGATAAATTTAGCGGTAGTTATATTATATTCATCAATGCATGCATGCTTGCAGCCGAACGTAACTGTACATAAAATATGAGCAAGAAGAAGAAAAACACCACTACATGTATATCTTATTGTTTCCTGTGCCAAAAAGTACAAGGCTGTAATTCTAGGATGTAATTTGGTTTTGGTCGCTGCGAATAGCGTTTCGCTGCTAAGTAATAGGTACTGTACTACTGGAAGATGGCATGTGGAGGTTATTTGCTATGACAAAATATCGTATTCGAATTTATTATCCCTTTACGAATATTTCATTACTCAATTTACAAGCGAATACATGTACACTTTTTTAAACATGTACTGTTCTATTATTTT